GAATAAAAGTGATCCAACACTGCTGTGTACTGGAAATGCTCCCTGCAGTAGAAATCTGAGGGAAAGGAAAGAATTAAGACAAAATAAAAGAGCCCTCCTATTTGCATAGCTAGGCAGCTGCTGGCACTTTGCATTAATGGGTAAACTGAGGCACAGAGTTGTGCAGTTTGCTTAAAATGATGGGACAATTTTCAGTGGGAATTTGATGGAAGCTGTTCATGCAGTTCTGCCTTTAAGTGTTATCTTTTCCCTTAAGGGCATCTCATAAAGTCCTTTTTGGATGATTGACATAAAGAGGCAAAAAGAGGAAAAGCCAAAGCCTGTGCTTTTTTCAAGCCAGATCCTTCAGGAAGATGGGAGTGACAATGAAAGCCAAGCGTAGGGTGGGCAGGGAGACGTAAAGCCCAGTGCTATGAATGTGGACATTTCATGCAGAGCACTTTAACACACAGCATGAAAACTACGGTGGCATAGTCAGAATATTTATATGCCTGGCAAGGGATGTATTTCCTGAAGTGAGTTTTAGTGCTTGTGAAATGTGCCAGACAGCCAGCCTGGGAGAGTTCAGCCCTCTGTTTATCTGTACAGCAGGTAGAGCACGAGTATCAGCAGGGAAGAAAACCTCCACCCGTGCTGCCCCGTTTCTGTGCTGAAGGGACAGACCCCCAAGCTGCAAGAATGTAATCCAGTCCTTGTGGCTTCTTATAGAGATGCTAACAAGCGCACCAGCTGCGTTCATGGTTTGGGGTATTCCTTTAAAAATGGTAATAAAAAGGTCTAAATATTTACAGCATGAGCCAGCTGACCAATCCTGTATCTCCCCAACACCAAACTCACCGTGCCAAGGGCTCAGCTGGTGCACATCCTTGCCACGCTGCCAACCCAGCTGCAGGTCTGGCCCCATGCCTCACCCACTGCCTAATGCATGTCTCAACCCAAGGTTCACCCCAGCAGCTCACCCCAACCCCATCCATCACAGCAGCCCTTGCCCCTCAATTGCAATAAATAGAAGCAGAAGCCAAAACCACCTGATACTCTACAGGGCAATTAAGAGAAGTGTGGGTAAACTTCAGCAGGGATCGAGCCTAGCATCTTATTCCAGAAGCACATCTGACCTGAGTGACCTCCCTCCACCAGTTCAAAGATAGAGCAGAACCTCAGAGCCATCGTGCAGTACAGCACAGAGCTCACACTGTGCTGCAGCACTGCTCCAAGTGATTCCACTGTAGTAACAGAAAAGACTGTCCTGTGCCAATTACACTCCATTGTTTCAAGTGAATTAATTTTTTTTTCTTAATTAAGTAGAAATTTCTCTTGACAATTCATCTATTATTAGAAGAAAAAGTAATAATAAGCAAATAAACTGATCAACCAAAAAAGCCACCCAGTTCTCTCCAGTACCCCGAAGGCTGTAAGTCAGTGGTAGCTTCTGTAAACTAGAAAAAGCACTGCGAGCAAAAAGCAGACAAAGTAACTGCTCTACAGAACTTAAATCTGAAGGAAACAAAGTGTTAAAAAACACAGCTATCTAACTTGCATTTGATGGATGGATGATTTACATCCAAACCTGCACAACTCACCTGACATGACAAAATCTGCAATGAAATGAGGAATTCATTTGCAGTATTCCTGGCCTCTTCATCATGTGACCAAATTCCCTTTCATTTGCATCACAGGGGGAAAAGCAGCAAATTAAATGACTACAAGAGTGATAAAATATAGCTTTCATTTGGGAAGTATCATATAGAAATGAATTACCCTTCTACGTCACTCTCAACTACACCCCAACCACTTCATATCACTGCCTACAAATTCAGAGAAAAAAACTTAGAGGAAAAGTAGCAAATTGACTGCTACGAATGATGAGGAGTGTTGAGAATTGTTGAAATGTTGGTTTCGTGGGGAAACATTGGTGGTAGGTGGATGGTTGGACTGGATGACCTCCTTTCCAACCATGGTGATTCCATGAGAAGAACCACCTCAGCCACAAAGAAAACAATTTGTAGTTCCAAAATTATGACTACCACAGATATTAACTTCAAAAATAAGTAGAAAAAAAATAGGAATTTGGATCACTGGGAATTCACCACTAGGATTCATTGAGAGAACGCACCAGAACCAGTTTAGCTCTGGTGAATTTTGACCTCCTACATAAATTCCAAGCTTGCCCTAACATTTTGAAACATGACTGTGGCTCAGAAGATCTAAAAAAGTTGCAGCCCGTATTTTGGGAACATTTCTGGACTAAAGATCCATCGTTATTTTCCTGCATGTGTTCCAGTGGTCCTCCCAGTCCGAGGTTCCAGTGCCAGAACATCTGCAGTAGCAGCATGGGAGGATCTGAACTGCGTCAGCGCAGAGGAGGTGGTTGGAGCCTGACCTGAGTTACACTGGAATTCTGGATCAGAAGAGGGTTGCAGGAACACAGATACTGCAGTGCATCTCAAAGACAGCTGCCAGCAGGAGGGCACGTGGCAGATGTCAGTGGAGAAGCTCCATTTCATACAGTGTAAGCATTCGTTTCCAAGAGCAAAGGAGAAAAATAACTGCAAGGGCCTTAGGATCTAAATCTAGTCTGCAGAGCAAAGGTCGCTGCAGAAATGTTTTATTCAGCATGAAAACTTTTGGAATTCATTCAAAGAGTAGGGAAAAAAAAACACAACAGCATGGCTGAGTGTTTTTTTCTTCACTGAACTATTTCTTCCTTTCTAAAGAGGGACACAGCTCCCATGGTTTGGCAAACACAACTGAGTTGTGTCTCCCTGCAGCAAGGAGCAGGTAAGCCAGCACAGCATCAGCCTCTGAAAACACAGCAAGTGAGGGAAAGGGAAGAGAAGCCAATAAAGGGGAAAAATTTGCCAAATGTGATGCCTTCGTTCATCACAACATCAGCTGGGAGGTGATAACCTGCACTGATGTGGTGCCTCAATCTGCCCAGCAAGGGTTGTGCTGTGCATCTCTGGCACGGTCAGAAGGGCACTTTCCTCTGCTGTGGAGGGAACCTGCATCCCCACTACTTTTACAATAGAGCAGCTTGGAGATGAGCTATTAACAACCTGGTGACCTCCTGAATCCTCTCTATTTGGTAAGCACTAAGCACTGCATAGCCCATCATCCTGAAACCAGGTTTCATCTCCACTCCCACGCTTTAGGACAGCCCCCCAACACAGTTTTGAAGATTTTGGTGCTTTCTGGACCAGGTTTTAACCACACAGATCCCCTCACACAGCTAGAATCACCATGCAGGGGACAATTCTGGAACGTCAGTCAGTTTTCTCACGTATTGCAGCAGGAGCAATGCATATTAATTACCCTGAGCTCAACGGGAGAACCCAGCGCCATCATATTGTGTTCATAGCTGGCCTCTATTCTCCTTCTAACTGTAAGGCTCTGCTCCTGCTGTATATTTCGCACATCATTGGGAAAAAAAAAAAAAAGCTCAAATCAATAACAAAAAACACAAAACCCAACAACAAAAACACACCCTGTTGCAATTTCTTTTCTTGCTTCACTTCCACCACGCTTCATATCTACAGGTCTCCAATCCCCACAGAAAGCACCAGATCCCACATTCTGTATGGGAACGGGCGGCTCTGGCTGAAGATGAGAAGTTCAGCTGGTGGTCGGAAGCACCTCCCTGCCTCCTCTGTGGTTAACTGCCCAGACCCATACAGCAGCAGTGAGACAAGCTGCACAGAATTCAGACTCCAAACGGGAAGATTCCCAAGTGCAGAGTCGTACCAGATTCAGTCTTTACCTTTAAGACAGCCCAAAGGTTGCTGGAAAACTCATATGATAACATCATCTTGACCTTTCCTATCTGCTGTTATTTGGGATATGGCCCCACCACCCCCCATGCACAGACAGCTGAGTTGGCTGGTGGCAGCTTTGACCAAACCACAACTTGTAGTGTAAAATAACACAAGGAAAACAGTGCAGTACAGGAGTGGGAGCAACTCCAGCACAGCACCAAACAAATCACATTAACTGCCCAACAAAAAAAGTGAAGGAGAAGATTGTAGACCTTCCTTCAATCCAGCTTGACCATTCTGGATGCCAGGACAAATTCACAATAAACATAATGACAAATAACACCTATCAGAATGTAGGCAGGTGATGCCAAACACATACAGACATAGAAAATTAATCTGCAGTCAGTCCATCTCAGCATCAGCTCTGCACAGGCCCCTAATGCCAGCTGCTCCAGGGAGAAGAAACTCTTTAAAACAGTTACCATAGAAAAATCTGTATGGGGAAAAAGGTTTCTTCCCACCTTGTCTTATTTACTATTCTCCTTCTTGAAATCTTGGTTTACAAGAGATCTTTTTACTCTTAGATTTTTTTTTTCCCCTCTTTTTTACTTTGCTGAATTCCAAATCTCAGGCAATGCTTTGAGTCACTGAATTCCACAGGCTGGTTTCCTCAGCCTCCACCAATACTGACAATTTTGAAGGTACCAATCTGTGACTGAACAAACTGCTGCTCTCCCCATTTAAGGTTTTTTACCCAAAAACTGCAAGTAGAAGCCAGGCCTGGACCTGGAACTAAGTCACATATGAAGTTGTTGCATATAAAATCACTCACAATCCCCAGACCATCTGTTTTAATCCTTGCTAACGCGCTGCAGGTCTGCCTTCACCCCTTCCTTCCTCCCTGCATTTCTTGGGGAATATTGTTATGTTGTGAAAGAATGCTGTTGAAGCTGCCAGGCTGCTCCGAGCTTTATCCCCTCCATGATCCGTTTGGACACATAACTGGTGAGCAGGAAATACTCCAGATACACACAGAGAATACTTAACTGCAACAAAAATGGTGCGCATGGAACATAACTGGGAAAAGCGAACTCCATTTTGTCCAAGCCCAGGTGGACCAAAGGTGACCAGGTTTTAATGATAACAAAGCACAGGTATCCCCAAACAGCAGACAGTGACAGAACCATCAGTCCCTGCACACAACCCTTCAGGAGTCACTTTGTGGAAAAACAAGGAATCCTTTCCTACCTGTCGATGATCACAGGGTCCGATGGAGTCTCGTTTCTGTTGCCACAACTTTTCTTCTCACAGCACCGACTAAAGAGAGGAAGAAAACCAAGACTGAAAGACCACTACGACATCCGGTAGGCAAAGCAATGAGCTCCAAGTCTCCTCCAAGAAGCTTCAGCACTCAACGTACACCTGGAAGAGCAACTGAGAGAATTCTGGCTACGATTATGCAGGGAGAAGAGCCACAAGAAGTGGGTGCCCAAATCCCACTTGGTTTTGGCTGGAGCTTCAGCTCCCCTCCATCTGCTCCAACATTCCCAAGGCAAACACAAAGTGGTCACGCTAAGGCAGCACTTATAGAAGACTTATAAATGATTCACAGATGTCAGTGTGACATTACAGGCATGAATATCATGTGATGTACAGTCAATCCACCCAAAGGTGTTCAACCCGACTATAAGAGCACAGATAATTTCTTACATTTCAATAACTGAACTGTTGTTCACTGAATACCTACAAACTTTTTAGAATCTACGCTTACCAAAAAAAAGCTCCAGCATTACAGTTGGATCACACTGAGGATCCAAAGAGATCCTCAATGTTGGCATTTGGTCTGTAAATCCCCTTGCTGTGGCTCAGTGATGAGCCCTCCCAGTCAATCCTGAATTTACACACCTTTCATACTGCACAGCCACCTGCAGGACTGCATAAAAGTGATAACCCTCTCTGATGAGAGCAACATAAAGCAAATCCAGGGAAGGGATAGAAATGCTGCGTTTAAAAAAATAATACTAATAATTAAAAAACTAACAAAGAGCCAGTTCATTGCTTGATTTGCATGGACGTACCCGCTGATGCAAATGGTGCCCCTGCACTTACCATATTTATATAAAAAATGAGTCTGTGCTCTGAATGACTCTGTTTTAAACATTTGTCTTAGAGCAGCACTAGAACCCATTAAAGTTTTAAGGATCCAATCATTTGTTCTGAACCCCCACAGGCCTCAGATCTACCAGATCAAATCTGAGGTTGCATTTCCGTTGCTGAGGTCTTTCAAATGTACACCTATGGAACCAAGAAATATTTCTGGCTTTTCATACAGTGGTACAATAGGTGCTGAGTATGTTCACAAAATACTTGAGTCAGACTCAACCTAAATCCCACTGCACTGTTTTAGGCATTAGAACAACTCCAAGCAGACGAGTTAAGATGCTCGAATTCACTGAAATTGGGCTAAAATATGAAAGAGCAGCTTTTCTTTTACTTGAACATTCAACTCTGAATGCTTAAAATAAGCACTCAGACCAAAAAACAAAAAAACCCCACACCTCTTGTGGGTATGAAAAGTATTCAAGTGGGAGTGTTTTCTCCATGAGTTACAGTGCAGCAGGATCTTCCCATTCGCACGCTGGGATCGCTGGGCACGATGAGATCCACGTGAACAGCAGCTCTAACCATTCCAACATCTCTACACATTCCCCTCGCCTCAAACCTGCACTTACTCATCGATGCCAGTCCTTTTAAAATAAAAGGAGATGCTAAATATTTAAAAATCCCTGGGGCAGACCCTGGAGCTGCTGTAAATTGTCATAGCTCCATCGGCTCCGGTGCACCTATGGTAATTCACACCAGCTAAGAGTATTTCCAATCCCTCCTCCTCTCAACTTTGCTTTATTTAAGTGTGTCTTTAATGCAGTTCACTGCCAAATGATTGTTTATATAGAATTGCCTCCTTTTTTTTTTTTTTTCGTGCTAAAAAGACAGCAGAAAACAGTAGCTCAGAGGTACATAAATTTGCCCTACACTTTTGATATGCCCAGTATTAAAATGCATTGGAAATCACAGCGGGAACAAAACGCCTCCTGGTTCCTGTGCTGCTCCAATAAAACAAGAGAAAGTATTTCCAAAAAATATTGAGTTCAACTATTTTTTTTATTTTTTTTTTTAGCAGACATTTCCTCTGTCTGCAGCAATGCTACGTGAGGTATCCTTTAGCCATGGAACTCATGCAGATGGTCGTAACAAAAGTATATTTGATAGCCCTACACCACAGCATTGTGTGGGCAGAATAAACCAGCAGCACATTTGTCCATCTCATCCCTTTGCCATGTGGTGGCATAGTGTTTAGGATGAATTGTGTGAGATCAGAGTGCAGCGGGGCTGGGTTCTGTAATAAGTGCATCTTGTCTGATTGCATAGCTGGCACAGTTATCACAGTTATTGGGAACTATACGTTCAGAAATCCTTCAGACTTCTTCCTTCTAAAACCACGGTTCATGGCTAAAGTTTTCCAAATATTTCGCAAATATCTCCACTCTTATCACTACCCTCATATGAGATCTTTGCTACGTTGCTACTCCTGAGCCATCCATACTTTTGGAGCCACAACAAACACCAGGATGCAGAGCAGTCGCTCCTTCCCAGCGATGGACCAGATTAGAGGTCCATCAGAGCACCTCACGAGGACCAAGGAGCTCTGAGCCTGAAGGTTTGGCAGAAACACCTCTCAGATCTTTCAGTCCCAAATCTCCAAATATTTCATTGCTGCACCCAACTCCTAAAGCCCCCCGGGGTTTGTTTCACTTGTGCTGCCTACCAGAATCGGCTCCTTCCAATTGCAGACAATGGCAAAAATCCCAAGTTCTGGTGGGTCCAAGATCGTGCCTGCAATGCTATCCTGGAATGAATTATTGCTGAAATATGCCAACACTTCAGCTTCTGCTTCCACGCTGCTTTAGGGACATACCTTTAGAGGTGTTCATTTCTTAAAACAAGAATGCTAAGGGTCAAAGATTTCTTTCCTACACATTTGCCATTGCAGCGCTTTCCTATTTAACTTCCTCTATGGTTTTCAGTACCAACAGCCCTGAAAACAAAACTACAAGCAAACACGGCACCCAAAAAGCTCTCGCAGGCAGCACCAGACCCACAACCCATAGGGTTCACGTCAGAGGCAAACTTACACCCTTCCCCCCCCAGAAGAAAAAAAAAAACTTGACTAAAATGCTTTTAA